GACTAGAGGAAGGTTCAATAGCACCATCCTTTACCATTCCTTCAATCATGGTTTCCACTTCCTTTTCACGTGCTACCGGCAATCTTCTTGGCTGCTGACGGATAGGCAATTCTTCTCTTGTGTTTATTTTGTGTTGAACTAAGCCAGTCTTTCCTATGTCAGCATCGTTTGATGAGAATCATCGGCGTACATGAGTAACAACTTCTTCGCCTTGACCATTTCGGTCGGGGAGAGAACGCTGCGACAGTCTTCCAAAAGTGAAGTCACTCTCGTTTGTGCATCCTTGCTGGGGGTCTCACTCGATAGATATTGGCACCGACGTAACCAATCCACTTCCTCACAAGTACCAACCAGCGTGCCTTTTTCTATAGTCTGTTCCCAGTCACAAAGGTTCAGCACACGTACTCCTGAGATGCCAGTGGTTCTGACGTAGGTTTGAGCTACTTTCCATAAAAGGTCATTGTTTACCCTTTCCACAAGTACACAAAGGTGAGCTTGCACAGCGTTTCGAGGAAGACTAACCGGAACAACCGTTTCCGATCTCGGCGGAAGAACAATCTTCTTAATGCTGTACACGTTCCCTGGTAACGCACCTTCCATAAAAAGTTCCTCCTTTCCACATTGCAAAACACCTTGCTTAACGTCGATCTCACAACAATTATTCCTCATAAATTCCAGGCCTAGCGTGCAGTCGTCCATTATATCAGCCACGATGACATTATGCAAGTAGATCACGTTGCCTAGCTTCAACTCCATCTCCTTCTCTCCACGGACGGGTATACGTTGACCGGTGGCTGTTACCAAATTAATGCGTTCTCGGTTATATGCGGAGTCCCAAGGGAATTGACTTATAAGTTGGGAACTAACAACCGTACGAGAGGCTCCAGTGTCTATAGTCAATTTACATGGCATTTCGTTGACCTCGCCCTTGATGATTATACTGTTCCCATCATGGGTTAGTGAGATCGCGATCCTTGAGGCTCTTTTAACATCAGCCAGCACCCGCCCCGCAGTTCTGGCCTTTACTGGTTTCCCTGCTGCTGCTAGGCTATGCCGTTGGCCGCACTACGCTCCTGAGATCGTTCAACTTCCCTTTCTAGGGTTCGCTTAGGGCAGCTGGATAGAAGATGGCCCTTTTTCCCACAGCCATAGCACCTAGGGCTGTATCCTTTGTTGCGGTCGCGAACTGTAGCTGCTGCAACCACCCTGACGCGATGGGAACGATGATCCTGCCGCACGGTTTCTACCTCCAGTGCATGGGCCAAGGCATCCTTAAGCGTCTCGTGATGCCCGAGCCTCACAGCAGCTCAGACTTGCAGGTCGCGGATGCCGTCGATGAATGTCTGCACCAGGTTCACATCAATGTGCGCAGGTACAGACCGGTATGCTTTTCGCACCAGCTTCTCCACCTCTAGAGCCCACTGCTGCAGGTTTTCGTTGATGCGCTGCACGCGGTCTTTAAGCTGCGCACGAAAGACGTGTTCCAGGTGAGCGTCACCATATCTCGCCTCCAATGCCTCAAGAAGTTGCTCATAAGTCACTTCCTCACCGAGAGCGTCCAGAACTGTTAAGGCCTGGTCGCGCAGGCCTAGTGTGAAAGTAGTCATGGCCTGACTTTTATTCCAGCCGTTCGCTTTCATAACAGCCTCGAACTGGATTTTGTAGGCTGACCAGGAAGAAGTCCCGTCGAACGGTGGCACCTTGAACCCACGTAGTGAAGGTGTAGTAGCTACTACGGGAGCTGTAGTTTCATCCCCAAGTTTGAGTTCGTCCAGTGATTTCTTCATGTCAGCCATTACGTTGTCAACCCGATTGTTCACTTGGTCGATTTAGGTTTCGGCTTTTCCGATTCGGGTTTCAGCTTTCGCGATTTAGGTTTCAGCTTCTGACAGGCGGTTGTCATGCTGAGCAACCCTATCCTTCAACTCCTTGATCTCCTTCCCGAAGGCAGCGTGAAGGTCCTTCATGAGGAGCATCTGCTCTTCCAACCGACGGGCCTGTTCCCCTTGTCCGTCCCGCAGCTGCTCTTCCAAACGACGGACCTGTTCCTCTTGTCCGCCCCGCAGCTGCTCTTCCAACCGAAGGGCCTGTTCCCCCCTGTCGGCGAGCCTGCTCCTCTTGCTGATCTTTAAACCAACGGGCCTGCTCCTCCTGTCAGTGACCTGCTCCGGCAGCATCACCATCAGAGCACCTAAATCAGGTGCTGCAGATGTAGGAGCTACTGACGGGCCTGCAGCCGGCGGCTGGCCCTCCGACGTCTGCGGCCTTGCACCACCAAATCTTCTTTGGTCCGTCTCCTGCTGGCGTTGACTTCGGGTACGGACACCCTCCGTTTCCTCTTTAGGTAAAATCGGCATGATTTTATCCCACTTCTGGACACCAATTGTTACGAGCTTGAGGTTCGTGACAATAAAAATTGCCGATAGGACTACCTAAATTAACACTTTAATTTTCTTTAAACAAATTAAAACTTAAATCACCAATAATTAAGCACACTAATTCACTTTATTCCGCTCCGAAGCTTCGCTTGTCTCGCCAAATTCAATACTTCCCCGATCGCATCTTGCACCGCCTATAAATATAAATTAGCACCGAATCATCCAGAACATTCAAGTAAATACGCGCACCAATCGACAAAGCGCCGAAAGTTCGAGAGTCAGCTTCCAGAAGCTTAGTTCTTCGTTTCGACAACAGATGGCGCTGTCGGTTGAAAGATTAGTTATGTCATTTTCTGGAAAGCTCCGTTATCCGACACTAGATGGTGCTAGTGCCAGATGTCAACTTAGCCGCGCAACTATATATATATATATTACAAGGGTTTCGCTTCCCTCATTTATTAAAACAATGTATGGGACGCACACAGCTACCGCCGACTCACGCCCTGTGCGTGTGCCATGTAAAGACCTACATCTGGTAGACGTGACACTATGGTCAGTTTTGATGTGCAGTTATTGTTTACATGCTTACATGTTGAAGACTGCATCTCAATTTGAACTGGAAGGCTGGAAGAAAACAACACGCCCATAGAATATGCAGTATTACTCAAACACTGCCTTACATCTGGCTATCTATTGTGAAAGGAGGAGTTCTACAGCCAAGTAGATGGTGTAGCGATGGGCTCACTTGTCACCGACATATTCATGGAAGACGTTGAGGAGAAAAACTTGCTTACATCCCCCGTAAATCCAAGGTTCTATAAGCGGTACGTAGACCACACTTTCACAATTATACCTTTAGATAAAGTAACTGCATTTTTAGACAATCTTAACTCTATAAATTCTAAAATTCAATTCACAATGGAGGTAGAAGCAGACAATTCTTTAGCTTTTCTAGATCTGTTAGTAATTCGGAATCCTTATAACACCTTAAGACATACTGTGTATACAAAAAAACCCATGCAGATAGATATTCAAACAGTGATTCTCACCACCATCCTTCACAGTTAGCTACTGTGTGTAAATCTTTGTTTCAGAGATCACGAGGGATCTGTGACAGTAAACACCTGGCTGTCGAGCTCCAATACGTCAAGCAAGTTTTGCATAACAACAAGCTGCGGGTTCAGAGCCTACGTTACAGTGAACGATTGAAGCTGGCCACAGTCGAGCGTGTACCTGCTGTACTGCCGTATGTTAGAGGAGTCACTGACAAGATTGGCTACATCTTGAAAAGCGCTACAATTGAAATATACTTCAATCCGCCGAAGAAGATTCGTCAGTTTTTACCATCAGTCAAGTGTAATGTCCATCTGCAAGATGCAGGATTGTACAAGCTTGATTGTGAATGTGGTCTCTCCTACATAGGACAAACTAAAAGATCAATTAAAACCCGCGTTAAAGGTCATATAGCTGATGTGAAAAATCGACGCTCCGGGAAGTCTGCAGTCTGTGAACACATACAGGATCGCCCCGTTACTACATCAGATTTGATAGACCACAAATCCTTGCTCAAGAACACCGATTCCTTCCAAGGATGATTCGCGAGGCTATTGAAATTAAAAAAAAAAACCTAATTTAAATAGAGAAGATGGCTGGGTGCTACTATCTGCTTAAGATCCTATAATAAATTAAATTAAATCCTAACCCAAGCATACAACTGCAAGACTTCAAGATACTATAAGTTCATACTGTGTAGATTGGAATAAAAGTAACATTTTAATCTATGGTAACCGCGGTTAACTATTATATGTGGACGCTGAACATCTCAGTCCCCCCCACCCCGTTTTTTTTTTAAGAATATTTACTTTGACAAATTTTTTTGCGTTAAAGTTTACAGTTGTAAAAAATTAAGGCAATTTTCAATTCAGCTAGGTTAAATTATCTTTAAATTGACACGTCTTAAGCCAACATTGAGGTCGCAAACTTTTTTCTTATTTGAACTAAAAAAATACGCTGTTATCCTTAGGTAAATTTATCTTATAATTGTAAATTACGGATCATTCATTCATTTATTAATTTTTGATTATAAAAAAAGTTTATTTAATTTTTCTATCACTCCAACAAATACATGTAAATTAAAATTTTAAATCTCATATTTTTTTTAATTTATTTTAATGTAAAACTCTACAGGGTCTACTCGTCTACCCGTTGTACAAAAGTTTGAAAAGTACTCCGAAACTCTTCACTGCTGTAATGGAAGACGTTTCCACGCCACTGGACTAGAAAGGATACTGTATTAACCTTCAACTGCCGTAGTGACGTCTGACAGACGTTGTCATGTCTTCTCCTGGCATTATTTTGACCTTCCCACGTGCACTCCACCTTTACCCTCCGCAGTACCTTCCTTCAGCCTCTTGCACTAACCCGCAGTGTAGCGCAATAGCCCGTAAGGTGCATACTTTTCCCGCCACTCTACAGTTGACGTCTCACAGACGCAAGGTCGGTACTTATGTTATTTTCTCTTTATGTCTGAAAGACGCCTGCACAGCGTTTATGTATTTTTTTACTAAACGTCTCGTAGTCGTCACGACGCTATATATGCTAAAATGATTTTGTTATTTTTGGATGTCGGAATCTCAGGCATCAACTTCAAGAAAACGGAAATATCAGCGTGATCAGAACACGCAACCTATTCCTGTTGAAAATTCAGAAGATGCTGTTCGAGACCTGATCGAAGGGAAAAAAACCGACTCAGATAGCCAGTTTGATGACAGTGAGGCTGACCCAAACTATATATTGGAAGAAGGCGAAGAGACGGATTCGGAGCAGTCGGAGATAGAAACTGAGATCATCTCTGACATGAGCCTACTCAATTTTTGTTACAATTTTGCAAAGTAATTGAAAGAAGTCACCGAAATGTTACTGCGGATAATTATTTTTCTTCAATTCAAGCTAGGGAATGCCTAAAAGAGAGAGGCTTACCATATCTAGGTACAATGAAGAAGAACAAAAGAGAAATACCATCGGAGTTTCAAGCTCAGAGGGACAGGAACGTTGGAGAAGTACTTTATGTGTTTACGAAAGACTGTACAATTATTTCTTTCGTTCCTAAACCGAATAAAGCTGTAATAGTTATTTACTCCATGCACCATAAAAGAGAGACAGATCCAGCAACAAAAGAAAACCAATGATAATCATTGATTAAAATCAAACAAAAGAGGCGTGGACGAGGTAGACAAAAAATGTGCAAACTACTCATGCTCTCGTAGAACTAGACGTTGACCGATGGCTGTTTGAAATATTGGGGAGATTTTCTGCGCAGTTTAGCTCGTGAATTAGTACTGCCTCAAATGCAAATATTTATATAGCTCAAATGTAGTTGAGAGTTTTCAGCAAGAAAATTCCCACAGAACTAAAATGCACTATTCAAAGAGTAATTGGAAAAGATGATATGCCCCCGACTCCCTTAATTTCAACACCACAAGCCCTTGAAGTTCGAAAAATATGTGCCATATGCCCAAGTAAGATGAGAAGGCGAACAAAGTATTTTTGTTGTGTCTGTGCTAAGCCAATGTGCCTTAGTTGTTGCAGTCAGATTTGCAATGACTGCAAGTAAAAATACCTAATATTACATATTTTTTTCTCTAAGATTGTTAATGTTTTGTTAAAAATAAATTTAGGGTTTTTTTCTAAAAAACTAAAAAAGTAGTTATAATAGACTAACTATAATAAGAAAAGTCTAGAACAAAGAGCTAATGTTTATAGTAATTATTTAAGAAATTGTTGCAAAACTGGTTACTTTGACCCTTGTGATTTTTATAAAAGTATGTTAAAGGCAGCTAATTATGAATGAATATTATTTATTGGAGTTTTAGGTATTAAATAAACAAGTTAAGTAGAGTTACTAGTTTATACCAGGGATTTATTGTGATGTTATTATAGTGTATAGAAAAAATTAAAATATTGATCTCACTCAATGTAAGTTACATAAATAAGTTATAAATAAAAGTTGTGTTCAACATTTTTATATGCTTTATTTACAAACATAATTAATGATACATTTGCTGAATCAAGAAAATGCTGGGACAAGGTACTTTTTTAGAAATTCCCCTTCAAACATTACGTCTATTAGACGCCACCACGGCATGCATGTGACACATTCGTCACTACGGTAGTCAAAGATTAATATTAATACCGAGTATATCACTTACCTTCTATTTTTAGACGATATAGTCCTTATAGCAAAACCGATGGAGAACCTAAACACTGTGCTCAATTACCCTAAAAGTGCCTTCATCGGATAGGCGTTAAGATGAACATGTACAAAACGAAAATCATGTGACCATGTCACACCTATGCTGGTAGTAGTTGGGAGCAATGAGCTCGAAGCTGTTGACGAGTATATTTGCCTGGAACAAATATTCCGACTAGGTAAGTCCAACATCGAGCGAGAGGTCAATCGATGGATTTAACTCGGTTGGGTAGCGTTCGGGTAATTACGATACATCTTCTCGACAGCTATACCTCAAAACCTGAAAACTCGATTGTACAACTAGTGCGTGTTGCCAGTGATGATCTTAGACGTGGGCCTTCACTGTTGGCCGCATGAGGATGCTCAAGTTCGCTTAGTGACCTATGGAGAGGGCTGTACTAGAGGTTTCTCTGCGTGATACACTTATAAATGAGGATATCCGCAGTAGAACCAGAGTGACCGACATAGCCCAACGGATTAGTAAGCTGTAGTGGCAATGGGCCGGCCATATAGCTCGAAGAACCGACAACCGTTGGAGAAAAAAGGTTCTCGAGTGGAGTGACCCCCCACTAGATGTAGTAATGACCTAGCAAGACATGAAGGAAGCCGATGGATGCAGGTGGCTCAAGACCATGTTATTTGGCATAACTTGGGGGAGGCCTATGTTCAGCAGTGGACTTGTGACTGTAATGATTATGATTGATGACTTGCTCGAAGATAGCTTTCACTATTTAAGGTTAGTTTTATGCGTTTCATTACTAAATAACAAAAATTATACAAAAGTATAACCATGAAAACCCAGCAAGTGAGTCCTACATAGTTGTAATTAGTTCAACTTATAATATACATAAATTTCAACGCGGTGACACGAAAGTCGTAATGAGACCAGTCCCTGTTTTATTTTATCAAGTTAGTTTGCTAATTGAATTTTTAAGTAGTTACGTTAGTCCCTGATATTCAGATATTATGACATTTTTTAATTTAAAATTTTACTTTAAATTCATATTGTGACACAAAATTATGTCGAAACTGCGACCTACGGTTCAGGCTGCTCCAGTTTAAGAGGATTTGTCTGAAGTCCCAAGCACGTTAGTATGAGTGTTATACTGTCAAAGTATAATTTAGTAGAATTTATATAAAAACTTGAAATCTATGCTTTAAGTTGCGCAGTTGTTGTTTTTGGCAACTGGCCTCTAGAACGGTTTCTAAAAGTTTTCCTTTTATTTAAATAATTTTGAGAAAAAAGAAGACATTTATTATTTATGGAGAATGGACCCACCACTAATTTAAAGGATTCTTAATGAAATGCATGTCGATGTATTCCCTATAATCTATAAATCACAATAGTATTATTAGTTTTACTATATATAAACGGAGTACATAGCAATAACAATCAATTATGAATCTAACAATAACCTAAAATCAAACTGAAAATGATTTTCTAGTAGTTTTCACCGGTATTATCAGTTAAAATAGTGCTCTATTGAATAATTATATTACTTATAAAACAAATTTATTGGAATATCAAGCTTTTATAGGTACTTCAAGAGGAAAATCTAGTAATAGTTCCAGCAAACTAAAGTGCCTGTCTGTGCACAAATGTCGTATAGATTCTATTTTTGATATGTATTGATTGATTGTGAGTGTACATTCTAAATGCCATTAAAGTAATATGATTAAAGCCAAGATAACTAAGTGATAATATCTCCTTTTTTATTTATAATATGACCAACACACGGTAAGAAAAATATTTTAAAGTGGTTGTATTACTAAAGAGACAAATATAGTGTAACTCTATGTAATCATAATTTCTAAAGTATTCTATTAGATCAGTACATAAACAGAAATTTTATATTCAACATTAATTAGAAATAATACTTAATGAAAGTCGCTTTTATTAATTTACCACTAGTTCGGAAAAATCCTCTGTCTTAGGAAGAATCAGCAAGAAACCCAGTGGCACTTTTTTTTAAATTACAGCTTACAATCATACCATTAGCAATATAGAACACATTAGAAATAGCTTGATATTGATCACCTTAACAGAGAGGTTATTATCATCCATAAATTCCTTACTATTATAACAACCGTTTTAATACAAACTTAGTTTTATAAAATTTTTGAACTTTGATGATTGATTGAGATAGACAGGAGCGGTGTGAAGACTTTGGTTTAATATGTGTGGTTGATTAGTTAGTACTAATACATCATAATATAATATAAATATATAAATAATGAAGAAGTAAGTTGTTTTAAACTATTTGTGAAAGCATTACAAAAACACAGGTATAATTTAATTGTATTTATTATTAGAAATCTGCCCCGTCTTCGCACTGTGATTTATGGATCTTGACAATAACGCCATCTAACGGATCTAAGTGTAAATATAAACCATCTAAGGATCCATTCAATTACACTCCATAGTTTTCATCAAAATTGGTTGGATGTTTTAAAATTCTAAGAAATACTTTTGTGTTTTATATAGATAGATTTTCAATCATCATCATTTCAAAAGTTTTTTTCAAAATAACTTAATGGTAATTATGTATATTTATGATATTTTTAATAATCAGAAAGGCATTTTAAATGATAAGAGTAATAATATAAGACTGTTGTCTTCAATACCGATATAATTTTTTGTCATAAAGCTTTTAGCATGCAAGGCATACAGATTTGTTCTAAACGTTCCACATGAAAAGAAAATAATGAATATTGTTAAGGTGTCCTAACTAAATAATATTTTTATCAATAAATTATTGTTTATATTTTTATTTCAATCTAAATAGCTTGTGAGAACTTTGTTTATGTACGTATTACGACTTGTAATTTTATTATAAATGGTGCTACTATCTATTTATTTTTAAGGCTTAACTCGTGATAAACTTGACCGGTTTTTATAAATTCCTTCACCACTGGAATATTATGTATAAATATAGATGTCAAATGTAGGATGCATTTTACTTCTTTCTACGAATATGTTTTTTTGGCTAATCTAGCAAAGTATTCGACCGATTTTGAAAATTGTTTCACCATTACATTGCTAATGACGGCGTTACTTGTGTGATTAATTGGTATTATAATAATAATTATTTGTGTGATTAATATTTTTTAAATAAATAAAAGTTAATACCTACCTAAGATGATCATACCTCCAACTATTATTTTTACAATTCAAGAATTATATTTACACACTTTACTTACACAGGTTGATTGTTATAGATATATATGTAGTAAATCTAAAGAGCTCCGGTAAAAGAAAAATTTATTTATTAAAATAAAACTAACAGTCGAAAAAAAGGTAACCAAGTGCAAGTCGGACTCCCTCGCCCATGAAGGATTCCGTAGTAGCAAGCAAAGATTCTAAATCAAGCAATATACGACTATTAATATGGCCAGCAACAAATTAATTTGTTTTTCATAGTGTTTATATAAATGACAAAGTTGTATTTGCGGTTTTTGAAAATGTGCCGTATCTCAAAAATGGACTATTTATTGTACATTAAAAAAAACTTATTACACAAAACAAATATGTTTTATGTATTTCAAGCCATCGAAAGCGGTTGCCTACCCTTAAAAAGAAACTAACCGTTGTTATCCGCTCGTATGAAATCGTTGACAACCGCCTTCACATCTCCAAAAACTTCAAGGATATAACCATTACACTATATCATTACTCAAACTTTATATTTGCTTCTGATACATTTTACACATAAATATATGTACCAATTTTATTATCTATCTACTATGGCTGATATAAATCCAGGATCTATGTCTGCCTTACTAAATAAGCCATTAATTATTAAACAACTAGCTGTATACATTAGGAACCTATTTGTACATGAATGCAGTTAAATGAATCGCTCTCTAAAGCCAATGAAGCTGCATCAAATAGAGAAGCTTCCTTAAACCTCCTGACCCGAAGATTCAAATTTTCTTAGTTACACAAAAACTTCTTTTGTCTATTTATTCTATCTATTATTAAATTTAAATTTTACTCATAACATAAACTTAATACTTTGTCACTTCTAACATACAAATAAGGTTCTAAGACCTGTTTGTTGTTTATATTTATATTTAGGTAATTCAACATAGTTTATAATACAATTTCACATATTCTAGGTGGAAAAGTAAACTATTGAATTACATACATATTCTTATTAACTAACCTTAACTCGTCAGTTTTATTGGCGAATTTTACCACAAAAAATAGAAAGAGAATTACATACGATAAGTTGAATATTAATGTTTCGCCAACCTGCATTATAATACCCATATTCTCTTTTACACTTTTGCTACGATAATACGATATTAAGTTTCTTGTAAAGAAACAAGTATACAATTTTTAATTTTGCTACTTTCACAAAGTATATAACCACAGACTTCATTCTTACAATAGTGATGCAACTCGAACCCTGTTTTCTTTTACTAGAATGTGAATTTGTCCAACTCGATGATCGAGTGATTTTAAAATACTACAAACATAAAAAAAACTCTATAAATAAATAAATATTTAATATTTTCATTTCTTTTCGTATTGCTATATATTACATATTTAATAATGGTACATATTTAAAAATGCTTTAATTAATGTAATTGCTACTCTCAATTCTAGTGATAAACTTTTACTCGATGTAGGAACTGTGTGCCTAGTGCGAGTTGGTGCGAGTTTTTTTACGCGTTCGATAGCGATATATTTAACTACAATTTGTATGGAATAAAAAAAAACGCCAACTAGTGACAATAATTTGAAACACAACTCCTGAGTGCGAGTTTATTACGTCGTCGATATCGACCATTGAACATTGAATAGCATTTGACAGTGAGAACGTTAACGCTTGTGATTGGTCGTTTCAAATGCTTTCGAGTACATTGCGAGTGCGAGTGGCAATTTCAATCATTCGAGACGTAACGTAATAACGTATAAACAAAATTTACTCTGATGCTATCGAAAAAGTTTTCACATAGATTTTCACAGTGAGACAATGTAGTGAGAACAATTGTTGAAGGTTTAGTAATTTTATTTCGTATTTTGTGAATGATATTTAAGTATGGCAGGAGGTTTTTATTTCGCATGGAGGATGTTTACAGCCGCTAAGGCACAAGATGACCGCAATTATAACGCCAATGTTGAAACAAGAGCTCGTGCATCTTTCAATCCCTTGTTACACCTCACGGAGAGGCAATTCAAAGATAGATATCGCTTTTCCAAGAAAGTGTTCAAGTTTTTATGTAAAGAGCTAAGGAGTTTGACAAATCTTAAGTCTTCTCAACGCGTTTCCTTGGAACATAAAGTGTGTATCGATCGATCATTAATTTTTTTACGCTTTTGCAAGGCAAGTTTAAAACAAGTGCAAGTATAAGTTTGTTCTCTTTTTAATTGCAGGTGCTCACTGCTCTATTCTTTTTTGCAACTGGATCCTACCAAAGGCCAGTTGGAGTTGCAAAGCACATATCACAAAAAATGTGCAGTGTGTACATAGAAGAAGTTACCCAGGCGCTGACACACAAAAATATAATTAATAAATATATTCGGTTCCCTGATACTCTAGCTGCTAGACAAACAGTTAGTCAACGGTAATAAATATATACTTATTTTTAAAAACCCTTAAGCAAATTATTTGTAAATAAAGTAAAGTACAGTAAATACTTATTTTAAAAGTTAGATTTTCCAGAAAATATGGAATCCCTGGAGTAGTTGGCTGTATTGACGGAAGTCATTTTAAAATAGTTGTCCCACCAAAAGAAGAGGAACATTTGTATTATAGTCGTAAGCACTACCATTCCCTTAATGTTCAAATGGTAAATCTAAAGTTCTTTTTATTCGAATGATATTATTAATTGCTTAAAAAGGGGCAGAAAATAAAAAAAATGTTTTCTTTTCAGGTATGTGATGATGAATATAGAAGTTTTAAGTGTCAATTCCAAGTTTGGAGGTGCAAATCATGATTCCTTTATATGGGAAAACAGTGATTTAAACACATATATGCAATTTTTGCACCGAAATGGAGAAATGTTTTGGCTTTTGGGTAATATATCTGCAGTATAACTTATTGGAATGTTTTGATTTATACAAAGTGTTTTTAAGCAAAACATTACTAAATAATACCTATCATCTATATTATTGACAACATTTATATTTTAACTCTAGGAGATTCTGGATATCCACAACGCCCATGGCTTATGACACCATTTTTAAACGCTGAGTCTAATAATTATAATGAAAAACATATGCAAGCTCGAGTTGTCATTGAAAACACATTCTCAAGGCTGAAATATCGATGGCGATGTCTGCACAAGGATAGAGTTCTGCATTATAAGCCTGTAAAATGTGCACACATTATTTTAGCATGCTCTGTGCTACATAATATAATTATTAATTTTGGTGTTGAGGACACAGAGGAAAATATTGGTGGGTATCATAATTTTAAATCAAATACTATAATATATTAAGCTAACTTATAAATAGTATACTTATTAATTTTCGATTATTTTTAGGTCTGCAATTGGAAAGGACAATAGAATGTGACCAAATAAGCTATACAGAAAGAGGAGAAGCTACCTCTGATTTAATTAGAGGTTGAATGTTGAGAGATCAATTATCAAGAAGATTACAATAAGGAGTAAATAAATAAAATTTAATAATCTTAAACCTTTCTTTTATTAATCAGCCTTAATCATTATCACAAATCTAAATAATTAATAGTAAAATAGTATTAGTAACAACAATATTAATAGCAATAGAGTTAAAATAAACAAATATTAATTGACTAATCTTTACAATACTTATTACTAATTTATCCAAAATATCTAAAGCTCTTAATCCTAATGCTTGCCACTCTCTCTGAGCCTGAACTTCCAACTCCCTAATTCGATTTTGCTTCCTTCTCATGTCCATAAGGTCTTGGTGTTGTTGACTTTTAAAATTTCTCCAGTGTTCTTCGGCTTGGAGAAACTGTTGTGCTGCCTGCTCTGTGTGTGCTGGCCTCACTCGTCTTCTAGGTGATCCCCGAGTTCGAATATGTCTAGAATGGCGAGGTGTTGATTGCTCGGACAAAGCAGGCCCTGGCTGAATTTCTTGGACTTGAGATGACGGCATAGTTGGAGAGAGCATGCTTGTATCTGTAATAATTTATGTAATGGTAATATGTTAACAAATTTATTTGAAATTATCACCTTCATGAATAATTAAACTTCTATCTTACTTTCCACTTCTACCTCCACAAATGGAACAAGCGGAGATGCCACAATATTTGCTGGGGCAACATGGGGACGTCTTGATGGTCCTGGGTCATTGCAAGATTGAGAACCTAAAATATGAAAAACATAAATTAAATTTTCAACAAAATTAATATAGTAGTTGTGTACAAAAAACACAAAAGACGACAAGTTGGCTTATAAATTTATAACATCAAGTAATTTTTATCTAAAAGTAAGATTTATTAATATTTAGTGTATATTGAATAGCTCATGTATATTTTATTATTTTTAATTTATTTGGAAAATGTGAAGCACTGCCTCAGTGGTTGCAAGTGCCAAGCAAGAATTTCTGGGTTAAATACCCTGGAACAAAATCAGTACTAGTCTGAAGTTTATATACTTACTGTCTAATAAGTATGTTATATACTACTATGAAATTCCTCTGCAAAGGCAATAGATGGTGAAGATATTGCTCTCGGAAGTGATGATGGCAGTAATGAGGCAATATTTTCCTGACCAGGCTGTGAATGACCTAAAATAAAATAAACATTATTATATACTGTTACTAATATGCTGATATCCTACTACTGCAACTTACATTCCACTAAGTGATGTGGTTTTGGAGTCGGTATGCCTTGTTCAATATTCACTATGGGATTACCCTGAATATAATTCCCCTGAAAAAAATACAATTTATGAAATATATAATCCACTAGAAAGTCGCTTAATTTAATTAAAAAAGTTGTAACCTGTGACAACCCAGCCTCTTCAACTGCCAAACCCGTAGCTACTTCTACACCAATCAAATTTAGTACTCTTTGTTCCAAATCCGTCAATTTGATATGTATAGCAGGCCCACCACCAGTACCTCTAGCTGCTTTATTCAGACGAGCAGCCTTTTTCTTTGTATTATTTTTGTAATCACTCCAAACCTTAAAGCGAGCAGAGAAGCATTTTTTTCATAAAATTAGAGAACTGCAACCCAGCTTAAACTAAAGTATGTATAGAATAACCATTTAGACGTACTTTCTTCCATTTCTCCGTAATTTTTGTATCACCGCTACCATCACTATTCAGTAATTGAGCTAGTTCCTCCCAATTTTTCATACAAGTCATCCTACCTTTTGCATTGGAAGATGGTTTGCTCCCACACAAATCCACTAATTTATTGTTCTAGGCACGGAGATCTCTCTCCGTGCCTAGAACCAATAAATTATAGTCCGTGAAACCTAGGTACAAAATACACAACATATGTTCCCTGAAACACTAAATAAATTAAATTCAACTTACTGCTCCATAAATGTCACCATCAAATCGAATTGAGACGAACTAGTCTTCATGTTTTTTACTTATAATTTATTATTTTTAAAAAACAATTGCAACTTCACGTAAACAAACACAAACTGTCAAAGTACAAGTATTATAAACATCAAAGATGCTATAATAACCACAAATTTGATAGACAGCTACTAATATTAAGAACACTAAGTGAATATGTTATCCTAAATTTGGTTAGTTTATCTCACGACGCGAAAGTGCTACCAACATAAAGGAACGAACGAACGCCAAGTGAGCAAACGTGAATCGATAGATTAGCTTCGATTGTAACTCACACTCACCCCTCTTCGCTTGTCGATACCGATGACGTTGACTCGATTAACGCGATGGTGAAATCATTCGATTAATTTTGTGGAACTCGCACTAGGCACACTGTAAATAGTCGATTTACTCGAAAATTCGTGAACGGCTGGAATACCATACATAATTAACACGAGTGACTCAAGTCACAAAATTCAAACCTAGTCGCATTTTTATCTTACGGTGAACACAGTGTCTGTCTACAATTTAGTGATGAACCCGACTTATTAGAAGATAATTTGTAATTTCAATTTATATAGATAATCAATATAAATTGATATTATGAAATTTGTCATAGTTAAATTATCAATAACATTAAGACCTACGTCATAAAGTTGGAGTTATATTATTTTAAGAAGATAGTCGATACGTAAATCAAAAATATATAGGTAACTAACCTATTAAGTTTAGTATTAATAATTGTGTTTGCGTGTAAGAACAAATAAAAAAATAATTTATGACAAATTCATGCAGCTTCGTTCAAATAAATTGAATTGTGAGTTAACTCGAAACAATTTTCTACCGAGTTGGCACATCTTTAATACAATTATTTTTTAAATATTACATTACTTGAACTAATAAAATACATGAAAACGAATACCATAACAACTCCTTTTTTCACTTTTCTTTATTTATTATTTAGACTATTTATAATAATAAATTGGTATCTTTTTTGTGTAATACTATTGATGGTCGTTAAAATTTCTAGTAGGCCCAAAACTATTGTCTCCTTTCTAACAGCGGAAGTGGGATAGATTTCCTGTTATCGTTTACATATAATCTTCAAATAATGTGAGGGTAGTTACGTTAGTGAAAGACAATGATGCGCCTTGTGTTTTTTTAATGGTAAATGTCGTAATAAAGTCTGTTGTCCTATTTACGATATTGACGTATCATTTCGTCAATATCATAAGTGTCGAGTAAAAGTCTTAGGTGAATTGTTTTATGCCCAAAGTTAAATCTTTTTGTTCGATTCATATTAAAAGTACCCTCAAATATTGTTATTATATCTTAATATACCCAAATATGTTAACACATGTCAAAGGAAATTTTGAAGGTATTCTGGATGAGTTATTAGTTATTAGTTAGTGAACATTCAATGAAAATTAACTTTGTCTGGTTTTATTATAATTTGTATTTTTTTAACTTTTCTAAGCCAGCACTTACATAAAATCCCACCTGATGGTAAGTGGTGATTTAGCTTAAGATGGTAAAGCGCACTGACTTAACAAAAACCTATTCACTCTTGCCTTGAAGACACCCACATTGTAATCGGATGGAAAGACAGATGCTGGCTTTTATATAAATGATTAATTTGTTGACAGTTCATGTGGTGCTGGGTCCAGGAGATCAGACAGATATGTTGTTACAGACAAATCTCAGATGAGAGTCCGATGTCTGTAGATTTAATGAGTATATATTTACAACAACATTGCGTGATTATATGTATACTGCTAATGTCGTACACTACTTTTCTTATAAATAACTAGATTAATAGTCTTATCATAACAATATTTTCTAGATACCTTACCAGCTACTAAATTATCGTTAGCATCAGCTTGGGCTATTTATAGAAGATTTTTAAATTCTAGAGGGTTAATATCAAAATTGTACAAAAGCTCTATACTTCCGTTCCGTAAATTACTCGGCAACCTGCATAATTTTACAAAACTAACTCATAAGGTGTATATTTCTTTACAGTACTCCTGATTATCACAGCATTATAGTATATAAATCGATGGCATCTATTAAATCTTGGGTCAGCTGTTTACCCCCATTCATCTTTGGGAGTAGATTGACCGCGGTTTTCAAAGAAAAACTTTCTGACGCCACTTTGGTTTGAGATATACTTTGGTATCCAAATCTATTTGTGTATTGATATAGATTTTCTATCTTATATATTTATTTAGTTGGTTCATGGGAAATTTGTGCTCAGTTGAAGCAATAGTTTAAAATTTTCTATAAAGGGCTCTCACCTCGCTAATCTTACATTCAAAATGTTGGCCTTGCATTCTTGTGGGACCTTAATTAAATATAGATTATTTTAACAATTTAATTTATATAAAAATCTGCGTTAACTCTACTTACATGTATAAATTAATTCATTATATTATTTATTAAAATCTCTTATCAAAAAATTTTACCTTAATAATACTTTTCATTTACTAACGATCATCTTATGGCTGGCGTTGACAGCATCTCCCTTAGGCTTGTTATACGGTGCGGGCAACCTCTTTCCGTTTGACCTCAAACTGGTTCCAACTGTTGAAGCGTTTTGTAGAAGAAGCCTCAGCTTACTATGGCGATTCCTGGACATACGGCAATAAACAATAAAGTCGTGTATATCACAACATCTGCTGGCTTGCAGCGTTGGAACTTCCAGAAGCCATCTGTGCGAGTAGCACCTCCTTCTTTGAAGATGATCCTCCCAAAGTTGCCAGTTGAAATAATTCTCTCTCTTCTGTCAGTAGTCCAATAGTAGCCGATTGGGTACTAAATTACTATGTATTTGAAATTCTTCTGGTTGTTCGTTTCTTGATCAGTAGATCGAGCAGTGTACCAACGGCGCTGTTACGCACCCCAGAATCCTAACCTGTTCTGTTAATCTGGCAACTAAGATGCCGCCTAGTCGACTGATAGGGTCGCCATGTGGTGTTGGGTCCAGAAAATAAGACAAATGTGTTGTCTTAGACAGATCTCGGACAACAGTCCGGTTTCTATAGATTTAACGAGTATACAATAAGAGTACGTGATTATATGCTTATTGCTAATATCTTACAAACTAAGTGATATACGTGACTAAGTGCCATATGCACACACATGCAAAATATGATTTAAATGGGCTACAATTTAATTTTGAAATGTTTAATATACCGAATTAAATTTAACATACTATAAATTGAAAATATTTTTATTTATATAATAGATAAGTATATTACTTTAAATAAATTCATGAATTAAACTCGATAAATGAATCAATGAATATTGTAAGGCAACGATGAGAAATATCATACAAGTGTTATTTAAAATACTGCTTCAAATGACTTTTGACAAACAGTCATATTAAACCATGAATCAATTAAAAAAGAATAAACTTTCCACTTTACGCTAAAAGTTTTAAGTATTTTTAATTTATCTACATTATTGTGATTAACAGCTTTTGTGAATTTTTAGTAGGTCTTCGTATGTATGTTGTTTTTACATTTGACACGCAACTGATAACAGAAATAAATGTATTTGATAACTTTCTCCTATTCTTTGGATTTGGCAATTTCGTGTGTAACTTACCGACGGAAACTCTTACAATATTATTATTATACCGCAAAACTTTATGTCACAATCACATAAAAAAATTAATAAGATCTACATTATATCCGTAATCTTCCTTACTCCATACTCATTTGAGGTACAAATATTTTTGGACAAATTATTCGGTCACACTTAATGGGCCATTTCACAGCGATTCATCAATCATTGGTTTTCCTAAAGCCTATTTAATATCTGTCTCCAAATGTATAACCTGTCATCAATCATTCCGAATGTTTTGGATACAGCTTACAGATCACTAGCAGTACTCTGTTACCATAATGTTTAATATAGTTTGTCCTCAATATTAATATTATTAATACTATTAAATTGATTGAACTGTGACCACGCCCGATATTCAGAGATATCACAATTTTGGGCTTAAACTAATTATTAAAGAGGCGAATTTGTATAAATAGTACAGCAGTAATATAACAGGTTTGATTTAAAATGTTGACACGTGTAAAACCTTGTGATAGTGCGTTTTTAAGAGACTATCATCTCACTAGTTATGAGAAATGAACTACATCTAAAAGCACATTATTAAAGTTCGATATCCTACCATCACATTCCACGTTCTAATTTGTTTTTATGTGTAATAAATACATTTAAAATCAACTTTTAAAATGAGTAAAGTTATTGATTACATGCATCTGTTACTAAAGGTAACGCTCTAATCATTTGAGGATTACACTCATGGATAGAAAATTTAAAAATCTATATTATTCGTGTTTTATTTAATTTCTTTAGTTCGCTTTTCTTTTTTAATTGAGATATTTCCGAAATTTGGGCGTATTTCTAACGCGATGTATTGTAGCTAGAGCGCGTGAATTATATAGAAACGCTCAAGGTCTTTCGCTAGGGGTATAACGCCTTAAATTTGAGATTGTATTTGAATACCAGTCCAAATCTTGCTGAGCTGTGTGTCGCATATTCTTTTCCCACGAGTAAAAAATATTATGAATCTAACAATTTGTTTTGCTTCTAATTATGTGCAATTGGTATATAGGCTGAAAAAAATTATAGCCAAGAATCTCCAAGGATGCAGAAAATTTTTCATTTTTTTTTACCAGTCCATGGGAGTAAACTGCTGAATATTGGCTTCTGTTTTGAAAATTAAGCTCTATATACTTTTTATTTATTTAGGGTGCGTGGTTAACGGCACTAGTTTG